AATGAGAAGTTTACGTCTTATTTCATTGATTCCTTGAAAGTGAATCATGTAGTTGGTGGTCCAGCTACACCCCTCACTCTCCTGGTCCAGCTACCCCCATCACTCTCCTGGCCCAGCTACACCCATCACTCTCCTGGTCCAGCTACACCCCCTCACTCTCCTGGTCCAGCTACACCCCTCACTCTCCTGGTCCAGCTACACCCCTCACTCTCCTGGTCCAGCTACACCCCTCACTCTCCTGGTCCAGCTACACCCCTCACTCTCCTGGTCCAGCTACACCCCTCACGCTCCTGGTCCAGCTACACCCCCTCACTCTCCTGGTCCAGCTACACCCCTCACTCTCCTGGTCCAGCTACACCCCCTTCACTCCCCTGTCCAGCTACACCCCCTCACTCTCCTGGTCCAGCTACACCCCCTCATTTCTCCTGGTCCAGCTACACCCCCTCACTCTCCTGGTCCAGGCTACACCCCCTCACTCTCCTGGTCCAGCTACACCCCTCACTCTCCTGGTCCAGCTACACCCCCTCACTCTCCTGGTCCAGCTACACCCCCTCACTCTCCTGGTCCAGCTACACCCCCTCACTCTCCTGGTCCAGCTACCCCCCCCCCACTCTCCTGGTCCAGCTACACCCCCTCACCCCTCCTGGTCCAGCTACACCCCCTCACCTCCTGTCCAGCTACACCCCCACTCTCCTGGTCCAGCTACACCCCTCACTCTCTGGTCCAGCAAACCCCCCCCTCACTCTCCTGGTCCAGCTACACCCCCTCACTCTCCTGGTCCAGCTACACCCCTCACTCTCCTGGTCCAGCTACACCCCCTCACTCTCCTGGTCCAGCACACCCCTCCCCTTTCCCTGGTCCAGCTACACCCCTCACTCTCCTGGTCCAGCTACACCCCTCACTCTCCTGGTCCAGCTACAACCCCTCACTCTCCTGGTCCAGCTACACCCCCTCACTCTCCTGGTCCAGCTACACCCCCTCACTCTCCTGGTCCAGCTAACCCCCTCACTCCCCGGGTCCAGCTCACCCCCCTCACTCTCCTGGTCCAGCTAAACCCTCACTCTCCTGGTCCAGCTACACCCCTCACTCTCCTGGTCCAGCTACACCCCTCACTCTCCTGGTCCAGCTACACCCCTCACTCTCCTGGTCCAGCTACACCCCTCACTCTCCTGGTCCAGCTAAAACCCCCTCACTCTCCTGGTCCAGCTACACCCCCTCACTCTCCTGGTCCAGCTACACCCCCTCACTCTCCTGGTCCAGCTACACCCCCTCACTCTCCTGGTCCAGCTACAACCCTCACTCTCCTGGTCCAGCTACACCCCCTCACTCTCCTGGTCCAGCTACACCCCTCACTCTCCTGGTCCAGCTACACCCCTCACTCTCCTGGTCCAGCTACACCCCTCACTCTCCTGGTCCAGCTACACCCCCTCACTCTCCTGGTCCGCTACACCCCCTCACTCCCCTGGTCCGCTACACCCCCTCACTCTCCTGGTCCAGTTTACACCCCCTCACGCTCCTGGTCCAGCTACACCCCCTCACTCTCCTGGTCCAGCTACACCCCTCACTCTCCTGGTCCAGCTACACCCCCTCACTCTCCTGGTCCAGCTACACCCCTCACTCTCCTGGTCCAGCTACACCCCCCACTCTCCTGGTCCAGCTACACCCCATCACGCTCCTGGTCCAGCTACACCCCATCACGCTCCTGGTCCAGCTACACCCCATCACGCTCCTGGTCCAGCTACAACCCCCTCATTCCCCTGGTCCAGCTACACCCCCTCACTTCCGTCCAGCTACACCCCCTCACTCTCCTGGTCCAGCTACACCCTCACTCTCCTGGTCCAGCTACCTCCCTCACTCTCCCGGTCCAGCTACACCCCTCACTCTCCCGGTCCAGCTACACCCCTCACTCTCCCGGTCCAGCTACACCCCTCACTCTCCCGGTCCAGCTACACCCCTCCACGCTCCTGGTCCAGCTACACCCCCTCACTCTCCTGGTCCAGCTACACCCCTCACTCTCCTGGTCCAGCTACACCCCTCACTCTCCTGGTCCAGCTACACCCCTCACTCTCCTGGTCCAGCTACACCCTCACTCTCCTGGTCCAGCTACACCCCCTCACTCTCCTGGTCCAGCTACACCCCTCAACTCTCCTGGTCGCAAAAACCCCCCTCACTCTCTTTTTCCAGACTAAAAACCTCACTCTCTGGTCCAGCTACAACCCTCACTCTCTGGTCCACTACAACCTTACTTCTGGTCCAGTACACCCTCACTCTCCTGGTCCATTACACCCTCACTCCCTGTCAGCTACACCCCTCACTCTCCTGGCCCAGCTACACCCTCACTCTCCTGGCCCAAACTACACCCCTCACTCTCCTGGTCCAGCTACACCCCTCACTCTCCTGGTCCAGCTACACCCCTCACTCTCCTGGTCCAGCTACACCCCTCATTCTCCTGATCCAGCTACACCCCTCACTCTCCTGGTCCAGCTACACCCCTCATTCTCCTGATCCAGCTACACCCCTCACTCTCCTGGTCCAGCTACCTCCCTCACTCTCTCTCTCATTAGTGAAAAGTTTAATCTCACTGTTCACTGTTAAATAATTGAACTGAATTAGGTTAATGCTCTACAATTCTGGAAATAATTAGACACGACAGCGAGGAACGTAGAGGGAAGCTCTATGTCGGATTGTGGAGTTCTATGCTGGATCCGTGGAACACACTGCTGGATCCGTGGAGCACACTGCTGGATCCGTGGAAGACACTGCTGGATCCGTGGAACACACTGCTGGATCCCTGGAACAATACACCAATAACCCTCACATAAAAAAGAGAAGCTTACGACGTAAGAAGCTTACGTCGTAAGCTTCTCTTATGTGCGGGTTATTTGTGTATCGTTCCAGTCACGGTATTGTGCCTCTTTTTATTTATCCGTGGAACACACTGCTGGATCCGTGGAACTCTCTGCTGGATCCGTAGAACTATCCAGAAGAGGTAGTAACGCCATCTGGATTCACGTTCACAGTTGGTGCAGCTCCCGGCCCTATCAGGTGAAATGTTTTATATTTGCACCGAGAAATTGCAGTCTTGTTAGTAATGTGTGAGAGAAAGGGGGACATTTTTGTTCCATTATATTGGCACCCAATTACTCCCACACACAGTCTAGGTAAGTAACTCCAGGTGACCTTGATGAGTTAACCTATCACGCACTCGCTACAGTGACCTCTACAACCTCGCTTATTCCACACACCCACGACAGTGACCTCCAACCTCGTAAATCCCACACACCCACGACAGTGACCAACCTCGCTTATTCCACACACCCACGACAGTGACCTCCACAACCTCGCTTATCCCACACACCCACAACAGTGACCTCCACAACCTCGTAAATCCCACACACCCACGACAGTGACCTCCACAACCTCGCTTATCCCACACACCCACAACAGTGACCTCCACAACCTCGTAAATCCTACACACCCACGACAGTGACCTCCACAACCTCGTTTAGGGAGGCCACTTTTTCGAGACTAACTTTTCTCTGCATGTGATGTGGCGGAGAGTTATTCCAACTCTATAAAAGTCCACTTTAAGTAAGAAGAGGAAATGAATGTAAATAGGTCCACTTGAAAGTAAAAATATTTCAAGACAGGAGTCCACTTGAAAGAGTACACTATAAACTACTGTAAACCAGCACTTGAGACTTTGTTTATACTTCTCATTAAGTGTTTACAGTTGTCAAACGTTTGATTAAGTGTTTATATTTAAAAATTAGTGTTTGTACTTGTAAATATTTATACGGGTAAATTAATGTTCACATTCGCTAATTTGTGTGCACTTGTAAATTTGTGCATTCTTACAAATGTTTAGATTTGTAAATCTGTTTGTGCTTGTTAGTTTGGCTAGTGTTTCTGAAATTAAGACTGACCTAGGTGTAACGATACTAGTTTTTACAGCAAGAGTGTATTCCAAGCACAGCCTGCTACTTCCCTCTGCTTCCTTGATGACTAGTTTGGTATCGGGAAAATTCATCAGATGTTTTTCCTTGTCGATGTTAATATTTAGCACGCCTTAACATAGGTATGACTCGAAGGGCAGATTTGTTGCATTACAGCGATGATTAGTGGAAACATTGTTCATGTTATCTTTCTGGCTGACTCCTCTTGTGTGTTCGCTGATGATTGTGTTCAGGTTCTTACCAGACTCCATATGATATGTAGACTCCGGAAGTGGTGTTTTTGGTTATGTTTTTTTTTTATTAATTCCTTTATGATGTTGGAGGGTTTGTTGGTAAGCCAAATATTGGCTTTAGCTAAGGATCTGAATAGATTATTGCTGGTGTTGTTTACAAGTTAGATTTATTTACTCGAGTTGGTTTCTTGACTGGCATTGTGGAGTATTTTCTCAACTCTCCTCCTGGAGTCGGAGATGAATTGTTGTGGATAGCAAACTTCAAGAAAGGTTTCACTGATGTAATGGTCAACAAAAGCAATAATCTATCTAGCTCATTAACTATGGCCAATTTTAATTTTATCAACAATCCCTGCAGCATCATAAATTACTTGATTAAAAATAAATTCATAACCAAAAACACCACTTCCGGAGTCTACATGATACCCTGTGGAGTCTGTGGTAAAAATTATCTAGGTGGAACCTGCTGAACCTGAACACAGTCATCAACGAACACAGAAGAGAAGTCAGCCAGAGATGAACAATGTTTCCACTAGTCATCGCTGTAATGCAACAGATCTGCCCCTTGAGTCATACCTATGTTAAGGCGTGATAAATGTTAACATCAGCAAGGAAAAACATCTGATGAATTTTCCCGATACCAAACTAGTTATCAGGGACGCAGAGGGAAGTAGCAGGCTGTGCTTGGAATCAACTCTTGTTGTCAAAACCAGCTTCTTTACACCAAGGTCGGGTTCTTTCCTGTAACTTAGTGCTTATAATTGTATCTTACCGTTAAAACTTTTAAATTATTGTTTAAAGTAGAGCTCACCTCGAGACACTGAGGCTGGTGGATGGAGAGTGACTTGCTGCCGAAGCCTCGACCACAGATGTAGCACACCATGGTAGGTGCTACTGTGCTACCCTTGTTGCCCGTTGATTGGTTGCTACTTCGCCCTAAGGAACCCGTGGAGCTGTTAAGATCGAAGGCGCTCTCACTCTCCTCCTCGATCTTACCTATGTTACGAGGAGGATGTGACGCTCTGTGCTGGATGGCAGTGACTATTTTCTCACCATTTTCATGTTTGCTCGTAACTTCCCGTTTTCGATTAGATAACGGACTGATACCATTTTCATTTTTTTGGCTCGGGGAAACATCTCCCTGGTATATTTCTATGTTAAAGTCTTTCTGTCCTTTAGAAATGGAAGCCTTTTGTGTCTGGATAAATCTCTTTAAAGGAGCGGACTTTTCTTGCGTGTCTGCCTTTTTGGCGAGTACAGGAGACGTCTCTACACTCCGGGATTTATTAATGTTCACAGCGCTAGGGGGTTTTAACCTGCTCTTTCTGACCGGGTTCTTCTTCTCGTCGTCGAAGCTCTTGCTCTTGTACTTGAGAGCAGTTGGCTTGGTGACAATGAGCTTGTTGAGAGTCTTGGACTTGGTCTTCTCCTCCTGGGTCTTGGGCTTGTACTCCTGCATGTCAAGCGGGTGACTGTGGAAGCGCTCAGGGTTTTGTTCCTTGCCGCAGGTCTGGCATGGCTCTGGGATCTGAAAACACAAACTTATATTACTCATATTATGGTATACAGTGAATCGGTCTCTCACTATCTCTCTCTCTCTCTCTCTCTCTCTCTCTCTCTCTCTCTCTCTCTCTCTCACACACACACACACACACACACACACAAATATAGGCATCATATACAAGGGATTAAATATCTTAAAATTAGATCTGTTTCTTTCACTGTCTCGCATACAAAAATCACCTCTGAATTCGACTGAAGAAGCCTGCTGGGTAAGCTTTTTCCACGGGCGTCTTTCACAAATTTGAAATTCAAAACAAATTAAGTTCAACGACAAAACCACCGAATTAAAGCAGTAAATGTGTGAGACAGTAAATGTAAATTGGATTGTGTTTATACAAGAGGATGATCTGGTTGATGGAGATTTAAACCTAAGCAATCCCCAGTTTAACAGAACAGTGAAATATCTGACAGATAAGATTTCGTTCGGATTTTTAACCCCGGAGGGTTAGCCACCCAGGATAACCCAAGAAAGTCATTGCGTCATCGAGGACTGTAACTTATTTCCATTGGGGTCCTTAATCTCGTCTCCCCGGATGCGACCCACACCAGTCGACTAACACCCAGGTACCTATTTGCTGCTAGGTGAACAGGACAACAGGTGTAAGGAAACGTGTCGAATGTTTCCACCCGCCGGGAATCGAACCCGGGCTCTCCGTGTGTGAAGCGGGAGCTTTAGCCACCAGGCCACCGGGCCACGGGTAAAGAATCAACTACCTGATACTGATACCACAACAGTAATACCACCAGCCTAGATAACACCATGGGTTTTTAAGGGAATGTTCAGACGAACTAAGTTATCCACTATGTTGTTATAAAGGGGATCTCGCTACAAGGCAGCAAACTAGCAGACAAATGAAATATGGCAAAACATGGGAACGAAGGAAACGGTGAATAGTCTGGAGAAAACTAGGAGACTAAATAAACACTGGGAAACAGAAGGTTCTGGTGACTGACAAACAGTTCTAGTTTCCATCAGTAAGTTTCTGTATATCATATACCGTATATTATGTTATTACGACAGTTACTGAAAGTAGTCAGTACAAACAACGGAGGAGCAGATTATATCTATTCAGACTACAAGAAAGTTCCAGTAGCTACAAGGACAGAATGAACTGGAGGTGTAGTAATTGTGTAGGGGTTCGGGATATTGGCAGTTTAGAGGGATATGTTGTGTATCTTTATACGTATATGCTTCTAAACTGTTGTGTTCTGAGCACCTCTGCAAAAAACAGTGATTATGTGTGAGTGAGGTGAAAGTGTTGAATGATTATGAAAGTATTTTCTTTTTGGGGGATTCTTTCTTTCTTTTTGGGCCACCCTGCCTCGGTGGGAGACGGCTGACTTGTTGAGAAAAAAAAAAAAAATATATTATATATATATATATATAATATAATATATATATATATATATATATATATATATATATATATATATAATTATATATATATAAATATATATTAATATATATTATATAATGTCGTGCCGAATAGGTAAAATTGGTCAATTAGCAAAAAGTCATTTAAAATTAAGTCCTTTCCATGTTAATATAAAAATTGAAAGTTAGGACATGTGCAACATCTGGTAATCTTTATTGTAGACGTTTCGCCATCCAGTGGCTTTATCAGTACAAATTCCAGGACATAATTAGAAGACAGTAGAACTAATATACAAAAGGTGAGGTAATCAGTCCCTCAGGTGAGGAACTGATGAGGTAATCAGTCCCTCAACCTGAGGACTGATTACCTCATCTTTTGTATATAGTTCTACTGTCTTCTAATTATGTCCTGGAATTTGTACTGATAAAGCCACTGGATGGCGAAACGTCTACAATAAAGATTACCAGATGTTGCACACGTGTCTTAACTTTTATCTTGTCTATTTTATACTTGTCTTACACAATATAAAAATTATCTTGTACCAAAAGAACCTTAGAAAACTTACCTAACCTTATTATAACAAGCTCAATTTAATTTATCCTAATCCATCTATTATTATTATTATAATCAAAAAAGAAGCGCTAAGCCACAAGGGCGCCTAATCCATCTAAATATATTTTATATGACTAAAATAATTTAATGAACCAACAATTAATTTTTTTTTCGTTAGATTCAGAATGATTTTTGCGAAATTATTAGATACACAATTTTTTGCTTACCCTATACAGCAAGAAGAGCGTTGCTATTTGAGACAAAATCGCAAGTTTTACCTATTCGGCACGACAGTTACATGGACGAGGAAATGTTAAGAGAAGTCCTTCAAAATATCTGTTAGAACAACATTTTAATATCCAGGTGAGGAAAAGTTTGGTGATTAGTAAAGTTCGTAAGACACAGCAAGTGTTAAAATCATCTACGAAATAGTTCCCAGATTAAAAAGAACGAAATTAAGAATTACGAAAAAAGGCCAAAGTGATAGATACATCACTTTGTTGATGGGAGGAAACGAGACAAAACCAGATTCAAGACTAAATACCCAAAAAATGATAGTGAAGCCTTCCTGGAGCAACTAGAAACAATGATTAAAGTAGAAGAAAGTTTATATTCAGTGTTAGAAAGATGGCACTAGATACAAGAACACAGAAAGATGGCACGAGATACAAGAACACAGTGTTAGAAAGATGGCACTAGATACAAGAACACTGATAGAAAGATGGCACTAGATACAAGAACACAGTTAGAAAGATGGCACGAGATACAAGAACACAGTGTTAGAAAGATGGCACGAGATACAAGAACACAGTGTTAGAAAGATGGCACGAGATACAAGAACACTGATAGAAAGATGGCACGAGATACAAGAACACAGTGTTAGAAAGATGGCACTAGATACAAGAACACAGTGTTAGAAAGATGGCACGAGATACAAGAACACGTGTTAGAAAGATGGCACGAGATACAAGAACACAGTGTTAGAAAGATGGCACTAGATACAAGAACACAGTGTTAGAAAGATGGCACGAGATACAAGAACACAGTGTTAGAAAGATGGCACTAGATACAAGAACACAGTGTTAGAAAGATGGCACGAGATACAAGAACACAGTGTTAGAAAGATGGCACTAGATACAAGAACACAGTGTTAGAAAGATGGCACGAGATGACAAGAAACACAGTGTTAGAAAGATGGCACTAGATACAAGAACACAGTGTTAGAAAGATGGCACTAGATACAAGAACACAGTGTTAGAAAGATGGCACTAGATACAAGAACACAGTGTTAGAAAGATGGGCACTAGAGATACAAGAACACAGTGTTAGAAAGATGGCACTAGATACAAGAACACTGATAGAAAGATGGCACGAGATACAAGAACACTGATAGAAAGATGGCACGAGATACAAGAACACAGTGTTAGAAAGATGGCACGAGATACAAGAACACTGATAGAAAGATGGCACGAGATACAAGAACACAGTGTTAGAAAGATGGCACGAGATACAAGAACACTGATAGAAAGATGGCACGAGATACAAGAACACAGTGTTAGAAAGATGGCACGAGATACAAGAACACTGATAGAAAGATGGCACGAGATACAAGAACACAGTGTTAGAAAGATGGCACGAGATACAAGAACACAGTGTTAGAAAGATGGCACTAGATACAAGAACACAGTGTTAGAAAGATGGCACGAGATACAAGAACACAGTGTTAGAAAGATGGCACTAGATACAAGAACACAGTGTTAGAAAGATGGCACTAGATACAAGAACACAGTGTTAGAAAGATGGCACTAGATACAAGAACACAGTGTTAGAAAGATGGCACTAGATACAAGAACACAGTGTTAGAAAGATGGCACTAGATACAAGAACACTGATAGAAAGATGGCACGAGATACAAGAACACTGATAGAAAGATGGCACGAGATACAAGAACACAGTGTTAGAAAGATGGCACGAGATACAAGAACACTGATAGAAAGATGGCACGAGATACAAGAACACAGTGTTAGAAAGATGGCACGAGATACAAGAACACTGATAGAAAGATGGCACGAGATACAAGAACACAGTGTTAGAAAGATGGCACGGAGATACAAGAACACTGATAGAAAGATGGCACGAGATACAAGAACACAGTGTTAGAAAGATGGCACGAGATACAAGAACACTGATAGAAAGATGGCACGAGATACAAGAACACAGTGTTAGAAAGATGGCACGAGATACAAGAACACAGTGTTAGAAAGATGGCACTAGATACAAGAACACAGTGTTAGAAAGATGGCACGAGATACAAGAACACAGTGTTAGAAAGATGGCACTAGATACAAGAACACAGTGTTAGAAAGATGGCACGAGATACAAGAACACAGTGTTAGAAAGATGGCACGAGATACAAGAACACAGTGTTAGAAAGATGGCACGAGATACAAGAACACAGTGTTAGAAAGATGGCACGAGATACAAGAACAGTGTTAGAAAGATGGCACGAGATACAAGAACACTGATAGAAAGATGGCACGAGATACAAGAACACAGTGTTAGAAAGATGGCACTAGATACAAGAACACAGTGTTAGAAAGATGGCACGAGATACAAGAACACAGTGTTAGAAAGATGGCACGAGATACAAGAACACAGTGTTAGAAAGATGGCACTAGATACAAGAACACAGTGTTAGAAAGATGGCACTAGATACAAGAACACAGTGTTAGAAAGATGGCACGAGATACAAGAACACTGATAGAAAGATGGCACGAGATACAAGAACACAGTGTTAGAAAGATGGCACGAGATACAAGAACACTGATAGAAAGATGGCACGAGATACAAGAACACAGTGTTAGAAATATGGCACGAGATACAAGAACACAGTGTTAGAAAGATGGCACTAGATACAAGAACACAGTGTTAGAAAGATGGCACGAGATACAAGAACACAGTGTTAGAAAGATGGCACTAGATACAAGAACACAGTGTTAGAAAGATGGCACGAGATACAAGAACACAGTGTTAGAAAGATGGCACGAGATACAAGAACACAGTGTTAGAAAGATGGCACGAGATACAAGAACACAGTGTTAGAAAGATGGCACGAGATACAAGAACACTGATAGAAAGATGGCACGAGATACAAGAACACAGTGTTAGAAAGATGGCACGAGATACAAGAACACTGATAGAAAGATGGCACGAGATACAAGAACACAGTGTTAGAAAGATGGCACGAGATACAAGAACACAGTGTTAGAAAGATGGCACGAGATACAAGAACACTGATAGAAAGATGGCACGAGATACAAGAACACAGTGTTAGAAAGATGGCACGAGATACAAGAACACTGATAGAAAGATGGCACGAGATACAAGAACACAGTGTTAGAAAGATGGCACGAGATACAAGAACACAGTGTTAGAAAGATGGCACGAGATACAAGAACACAGTGTTAGAAAGATGGCACGAGATACAAGAACACTGATAGAAAGATGGCACGAGATACAAGAACACAGTGTTAGAAAGATGGCACTAGATACAAGAACACAGTGTTAGAAAGATGGCACGAGATACAAGAACACAGTGTTAGAAAGATGGCACGAGATACAAGAACACAGTGTTAGAAAGATGGCACTAGATACAAGAACACAGTGTTAGAAAGATGGCACTAGATACAAGAACACAGTGTTAGAAAGATGGCACGAGATACAAGAACACAGTGTTAGAAAGATGGCACGAGATACAAGAACACAGTGTTAGAAAGATGGCACGAGATACAAGAACACAGTGTTAGAAAGATGGCACTAGATACAAGAACACAGTGTTAGAAAGATGGCACGAGATACAAGAACACTGATAGAAAGATGGCACGAGATACAAGAACACTGATAGAAAGATGGCACGAGATACAAGAACACAGTGTTAGAAAGATGGCACGAGATACAAGAACACAGTGTTAGAAAGATGGCACTAGATACAAGAACACAGTGTTAGAAAGATGGCACGAGATACAAGAACACAGTGTTAGAAAGATGGCACGAGATACAAGAACACAGTGTTAGAAAGATGGCACGAGATACAAGAACATGAACCTCGGACATTCATTACCAAGTGACCGTAAAACCTCCCATAAAACCAACACCAACTGGTCACACCAGTTAACATTCCTTCCTAACACTTTATAGTGACGTTACAACAACCAGAGACTATCAATTCAATGTCAGGTTAATTTACCTACCATTTTTTTCACTATCCTACCCCAAGACGATGTTATGGGTGAGCAAATATGAAGAGGTTATGTCTGCTACACAACCACTAACAAACTTAGTTTTGTTAGGTAAGACACATATGCAACAGTTTGGTATCTTTATTTCGAAACGTTTCGCCTACACAGTAGGCTTCTTCAGTCGAGTACAGAGAAGTTGATAGAAGCAGGAGAGACGTCAAGACGATATAATCAGTCCATCACCCTTGATTACATCGTCTTCACATCTCTTCTGCTTCTATCAACTTTTCTGTACTTGACTGAAGAAGCCTACTGTGTAGGCGAAACGTTTCGAAATAAAGATACCTAACTGTTGCATGTGTGTCTTACCTAACAAACTGTCTGTATTTTATACCATTTTAATATTCAAACTTAATTTTCTTGAACTAAATATGCACCTGGGACGAGACACCAACTTACATCTGCTGTTTTAACTACGAATATGTGATCACATACTGGAAATAATAATCACATTGTTAATCATAATAAAAACAGATAATCAGATAATCTCCAATGGTAATGTCTAACACGTAATCTTACTCAAATAATTACGAAGGGCTAATCACAAATAGGTATTAAATAGGTAATCACAATTATAATAGGTAATCACTAGTATGTAATCAAAAAAGTAATCACTATTAGGTTACTATAAACAGGTAATCTGGCACACAACACACAAGTGAAGGTTAGCCAGAGTAGACAAGAGACGTCTACTGAACGCAGGAGGGACCAGAGAGAGTCCTGCAGCTGTTAGGATTTTTTTTTTAAGGTATTAGGGTAGGAAGGAAAACTAAAATAGTGAATGATATTACTAGAAGCTCAGTAAATTCACGGATTCTCAGTTATTAATGCCAGTCAGAACGAAAGCTCAAGAATCTTAAAAAACAAACACACACACACACACACACACACACACACACACACACACACACACACACACACAGGCAGGAACCATACATAGTTTTAAGGCGAGGTATGATAGAGCTCATGGGGCAGGGAGAGAGAGGACCTAGTAGCAATCAGCGAAGAGGCGGGGCCAGGAGCTGTGACTCGACCCCTGCAACCACAAATAGGTGAGTACAAATAGGTGAGTACACACACACACGCCTCCACCATTATTCAAAGTACCACCACCACTACTACTACTACTAACAGTGAGCCAAGCAAGAACATAGCGTGACACGATACCTCTAAGAGCGAGACGTCTTGTTCAATATTCCCACCCTGATGTCACATGATGTGATGTGTGGGTTAACCTCCCGCATGCAGCGACCTCCTGACATCAGTAATCTCACTTCAAACATCTTCCTCTCAGGCATTATGTCCCGGTAGAAAAATATCGTAAAAGGTAAATTTATTCTTGATATATATACCATAAGAGATTACAGTGTATACCAATTCCACAAGAATATATACCACAGAGTTGACATCGTGGGAATTTTTTTCCACAGGTATATTCCATAGTTGTCAAGGCTCTTATATTCCAGGCACGTGTATTATACAGCTGGTAGCATATTCGCATACTCCTGATATATTTACTTCAGAGCTGGCAGTATACTGGTATACCACAGGTGTCTACACCACAGAAGCGAACTAGTATACTAGTATGGGACAAACTTCTTATACAGTCGAGACTGTACAGGATAGATGCCGTTCTGTACAAATGTCTGCAAAATGTGGACAGTTTGAAGGAAAGGTTTACGAATGGACGAAATGTGCAGTGTACACGAACAGTGGACGAACTGTGCACGAACAGAAAACTAAAAGAGCACAAACTAAGTTACAAATGTACACAAAACAGTGGATGAAACTAGCAAGAATTTTCGAACGTAAGGTGTAAAAGATCTGAACGACACGTCTCTGGAGTGCACTCTAACACCCTCATTTTCGATACTGAAGATAAATGGAAAAGGTGGGGGGGGTGTAAGAGGGGGAGCGAACAGAGGTCCACTAAAGTGGGATGCCGTATGCTGTACCATACAGCTACGATAACGTTCAACCGAAACCACAGCACCAGCAGGTGATACCACTGCGATCAACCACTTAAGTGACAATCTTAAAAAACATCACCCACATGGCTGAATGATACAGGGCAGTATCTCCCAATTACAGGACCGTGGTTCCACCCTCAAGCTGCCCTGCTGCTCTCAATCTCGAGCTGACCGACCTTGACTTTGTTCTTGGGACCGGTGAAGACCTCCTCCACGTTCCTGTTGCGTCTGTTCCTGGGGATGCACGACCTAAACGAAGAGCTTCTCTTGGAGGGTCGAGACGCCGAGGTGATGACGGGCACTGCTATGTTTCTTGACGGTCGTGGCAGACGCATGGTAGACGGACGTACCTGTCCACCAACCAGGCTTAGTAACATACCAAATTGTAATTACTACAATGACTATCATTATTACTAATACCATGTTCATTGAGAAGCACCAAACTAGTTCGGGTTACATTACCAGAGGGTTCTTTCAGTTATATATAAAGTGCTAAACCGTGTGGGTCTTTTAGCTTACTGAGTGGTTAAGACTCGAGCTTCCGGTCACTAACTGGCGGAGAGATGCACCAACAACTAACCTGCTGAGTGCCTAGTGACTCGCCTGCTACAGTACCAGCGACTCGCCTGCTACAGTACCAGCGACTCGCCTGCTACAGTACCAGCGACTCGCCTGCTACAGTACCAGCGACTCGCCTGCTACAGTACCAGCGACTCGCCTGCTACAGTACCAGCGACTCGCCTGCTACAGTACCAGCGACTCGCCTGCTACAGTACCAGCGACTCGCCTGCTACAGTACCAGCGACTCGCCTGCTACAGTACCAGCGACTCGCCTGCTACAGTACCAGCGACTCGCCTGCTACAGTACCAGCGACTCGCCTGCTACAGTACCAGCGACTCGCCTGCTACAGTACCAGCGACTCGCCTGCTACAGTACCAGCGACTCGCCTGCTACAGTAACCAGCGACTCGCCTGCTACAGTACCAGCGACTCGCCTGCTACAGTACCAGCGACTCGCCTGCTACAGTACCAGCGACTCGCCTGCTACAGCACCAGCGACTCGCCTGCTACAGCACCAGCGACTCGCCTGCTACAGTACCAGCGACTCGCCTGCTACAGTACCAGCGACTCGCCTGCTACAGCACCAGCGACTCGCCTGCTACAGCACCAGCGACTCGCCTGCTACAGCACCAGCGACTCGCCTGCTACAGCACCAGCGACTCGCCTGCTACAGCACCAGCGACTCGCCTGCTACAGCACCAGCGACTCGCCTGCTACAGCACCAGCGACTCGCCTGCTACAGCACCAGCGACTCGCCTGCTACAGCACCAGCGACTCGCCTGCTACAGCACCAGCGACTCGCCTGCTACAGCACCAGCGACTCGCCTGCTACAGCACCAGCGACTCGCCTGCTACAGTACCAGCGACTCGCCTGCTACAGCACCAGCGACTCGCCTGCTACAGCACCAGCGACTCGCCTGCTACAGCACCAGCGACTCGCCGCTACAGCACCAGCGACTCGCCTGCTACAGCACCAGCGACTCGCCTGCTACAGCACCAGCGACTCGCCTGCTACAGCACCAGCGACTCGCCTGCTACAGCACCAGCGACTCGCCTGCTACAGCACCAGCGACTCGCCTGCTACAGCACCAGCGACTCGCCTGCTACAGCACCAGCGACTCGCCTGCTACAGCACCAGCGACTCGCCTGCTACAGCACCAGCGACTCGCCTGCTACAGCACCAGCGACTCGCCTGCTACAGCACCAGCGACTCGCCTGCTACAGCACCAGCGACTCGCCTGCTACAGCACCAGCGACTCGCCTGCTACAGCACCAGCGACTCGCCTGCTACAGCACCAGCGACTCGCCTGCTACAGCACCAGCGACTCGCCTGCTACAGCACCAGCGACTCGCCTGCTACAGCACCAGCGACTCGCCTGCTACAGCACCAGCGACTCGCCTGCTACAGCACCAGCGACTCGCCTGCTACAGCACCAGCGACTCGCCTGCTACAGCACCAGCGACTCGCCTGCTACAGCACCAGCGACTCGCCTGCTACAGCACCAGCGACTCGCCTGCTACAGCACCAGCGACTCGCCTGCTACAGCACCAGCGACTCGCCTGCTACAGCACCAGCGACTCGCCTGCTACAGCACCAGCGACTCGCCTGCTACAGCACCAGCGACTCGCCTGCTACAGCACCAGCGACTCGCCTGCTACAGCACCAGCGACTCGCCTGCTACAGCACCAGCGACTCGCCTGCTACAGCACCAGCGACTCGCCTGCTACAGCACCAGCGACTCGCCTGCTACAGCACCAGCGACTCGCCTGCTACAGCACCAGCGACTCGCCTGCTACAGCACCAGCGACTCGCCTGCTACAGCACCAGCGACTCGTCTGCTACAGCACCAGCGACTCGCCTGCTACAGCACCAGCGACTCGCCTGCTACAGCACCAGCGACTCGCCTGCTACAGCACCAGCGACTCGCCTGCTACAGCACCAGCGACTCGCCTGCTACAGCACCAGCGACTCGCCTGCTACAGCACCAGTGACTCCTACAGTATCAGTGACTCACCTACAGTACAAGTGACATACCTACTACAGTACAAATGACTCGCCTACTACAGTACAAATGACTCACCCACAGTATCAGTGACTCACCTACAGCATCAGTGACTCACCTAAAGTACCAATGACTAGCCACTCACCTTTCTAGCCTCTGTCTCCGAGTCACCAGAGTCATCAAAGGGACTCTTGCTTCCTAGTGAGGAGGGTGACGAGGAAGTAAAGTCGCTGGAATAATCACTGAACCCTGACTGAGGCTCGTGAGAGAGAATCAGCTGGTCGACCATACTGCGCGTCATCTCACTCATGTCCAGCGCATTCTTCAGGCTCATGTCCAGAACCTGCGCCCATGCCCAAGACGCACACAAGGATTATTACTTTCATGCGAAGGTTTTACACCGTGTGGATCACTCAGTAAGAGTGTTAACAGGAGCGATCCTCCATCTGCAAGGCTCAGACACGCTAACTTTACATAACGGCCTTAATTAACTCTTGAATAATAACAATCTTGCATAATTATTATTCAAGGGCTAATTAAGACCCGAATGCGTTGCTAGCCAGGCTGTTGGTGGTGGCAGCCAGAGACAAAGCAGACAGCAGCAGACTAACTTTGTAGGTTAATGAAGCTAGACAAGCAGATGCTGTTAAAGTTATTTTAATGTTGTGATTCGCACTGGGTATATTATGGACAGATTAAAAATTACTTCAGTCTAAATAATGGTTCATATTTAATTAAAAAAAGAAATATGGCAGAAAAGGAGTGAGGCGGCCATTGTTGTGGCCAGGGTAAGCTTACTATACCAGGGAGATGCGAGTGTTAAGGCAGGTAATGTGAGGGAGAGGGAAAGAGAGGGGAGAGGGGTGGGAGAAAGAATTACATGACATGAGGGAGGGTAAGTTACAAAAACATGAGGAACCGTGAGGAAGATAACGAGAGGAGAGTAAGAGAAAGTGAGAGCGAGACAGAGAGAGAGAGAGAGAGAGAGAGAGAGAGAGAGAGAGAGAGAGAGAGAGAGAGAGAGAGAGACTAACCTTGGGTCTCTTCAACACAGCAGTGCCAGGTCGCTGTTTGGTGGTCAGGTGACCTTGCGAGGCGGAGCGTGGGCGGCCGTCAGGCAGGCGTGGGTGGTGTGGGTCAGGCCAAGAGGTGCTCAGCTCATCGGGGTCTGAGGTGGGCGTGTAGGCAGCGGGCGTGGGCGACATGTCAGCGCGCAGGTGCGCCTGGTGCTGCGGGTGACCCGGGGGAGGGGATGGTGTCGCCTCCCGCCGGTTCCTGACGGTACAAGACAGGGATACAAGACACGGGGAATGTACGTTAACAAGGTGTTGGAATGTCAGACACTGATGTTCGATCGTGTTTGTTCACCCTCTTGATAACGTAAGAACATTCAACACTAAAACTTCACTAAACGCTCACAAAATACGCCACACACACACACACACACACACACACACACACACACACACACACACACGCAGGTTAAGTAAGCAAAGGTCAATTCAGGGCATTTCTAAGGAAAAAAAAATTAAGTCAGTATATTTGAGTGGGGCGCCACTGCTCGCCTCTGTCAGGCAGAGAATCAATCATTTCTTCACTAAATAATTAATATATGTTCATTGATTGTTATGGCAATTTGTCAGTTTTCATAAATCTTAGTACAATGTTTAGCTAGTGTTCTGTGTGTGTGTGTGTGTGTGTGGTGTGTGTGTGTGTGTGTGTGTGTGTGTGTGTGTGTGAGAGAGAGAGAGAGAGAGAGAGAAGAGAGAGAGAGAGAGAGAGAGAGAAGAGAGAGAGAAGAGAGAGAGAGAGAGAGTTTCTGTTGTCTGTTAAGCCTGTTAATGGTTGAGGGGATCGGAGAATCCGGTGGTGTGACCTTCCGGTCCCAGACCAGTTCTTCTGGACTGGACAGGAAACGTTCAAGAAATAAGAGGTGATGAAAAACGTATAGGAAAGTAATATGTATAGCGAATGTAAGTAAAAGTTTGCAAAGTTTACTTATCGTCTCTCATGCTCCTGAGTCAAAGAAATGACCAGCAAGACTGCTAGAGAAATAACCAGAGAGAGAGAGAGAGAGAGAGAGAGAGAGAGAGAGGAGGGGTGTGTACTTCAGAGTGGTACACCCACTACAAAAAGTCTGAGGTCATTCATCCTTGACCTTGCCTCGAGTCACCCTCAATGTAGCATACCTGGGAATATCATTCATATAAATGGCTACTGTCAGGGCTGAAGCCCATCTTATTACTAAATAAGGCGCAATAAAAAGCACCAGAACCTGCAGACACACTGAAATAAAAAGCTGGACGAGCGTGAGTGAGTCAACATAAAATAATCCTCGTCACTAGTTTGCAAACATGGACATGAAGGCCTCTTGCATGACAGTTTACGGGTGAAATATGTCTTCAAGTGTATCATGAACTTTTTTTTATATTAGCTTATTTTCTGGAAAACACCGAGAAACATTTACCAGGTGGGTCGCACCATTGCTTGTGCTGAAGTTTTCTACCATGATGGTAACTAACATAGCCTCAGTCTAAGATATTCTGTACACCACGGAATTTACAAACTAAAACCTGGTATCTTAAATCATTTCATTTACATGCTAAAAGCTGTTCAAAATCGTGGAATATCCAAGTTATGCCAACAATCCTCCTTCCTGTACTTAGTCACACCTAGTTACACAGGAGCAAACACAGGCAAGACTTGCTCTCACGTCTTCACCACACGAATCTACCTTATATAAATGACGACTCACGAAACCGTAATAACACTATTGAAAAAAAAAATCACGGATGAATCTCAGAGCCAGCAGTTGGCCAAATGGTTAACGCACTGGCCTGGGAATTTTAAGACTCACTCGCCATGGGTTCAATCCCCACCCGTTCTAGTGTTCGGTAAATGTCATCTTGGTATAAAAAAAAAAGATCGCACGAAACATAACAAATTAACCCCACGAACAATTGCAACACAAGTTTGGAAGATAGATTTAGCCAGCTTAAACACGGGATAATTTACACTACCAACACGGGTTAATCCTGTTTACAATGGTCTTGAAAACCTGTACACAGGTATTATGGAGACACGTATATAATGAGCAGAGTTTACCAGGATGATACGAAGAGCTCAAGAACGGTGACTTGTCTACACTGGGGTTAATAACATGAGTAATCTAGTGACGGGTGACAGGTCCCCAGTACGGCACGCACTGACGGGTGACAGGTCCCCAGTACGGCACGCACTGACAGGTGGGAGGTCCCCAGTTCAGTATGTACTGACGGGCGAGGTGCTCAGTACAGTATGTACTGACGGGCGAGGTGCTCAGTTCAGTATGTACTGACGGGCGAGGTGCTCAGTTCAGTATGTACTGACGGGCGAGGTGCTCAGTTCAGTATGTACTGACGGGCGAGGTGCTCAGTACAGTATGTAACTGACGGCGAGGTGCTCAGTACAGTAGTACTGACGGGGAGGGGCTCAGTACAGTATGGGACTGACGGGCGAGGTGTCAGTACAGTATGTAAATGACGGGGGAGGTGCTCAGTACAGTAAAGTACTGAAAGGGCGAGGTGCTCAGTTCATATGTACCCGACGGCGAGGTGCTCAGTTCAGTATGTACTGACGGGCGAAGTGCTCAGACAGTACATATGACGGGCGGTGCTCAGTACCCGTAACAAACTGACGGGGCGAAGTGCTCAGTACAGTACATACTGACGGGCGAAGTGCTCAGTACATACTGACGGGCGAGGTGCTCAGTACAGTACATACTGACGGGCGAGGTGCTCAGTACAGTACATGCTGACGGGCGAGGTGCTCAGTTACAGTACCCAAAAAGACGGGCGAGGTGCCCAGTACAGTACATACTGAGGGCGAGGTGCTCAGTACAGTACATACTTTACGGGCGAGGTGCTCAGTACAGACATACTGACGGGCGAGGTGCTCAGTACAGTAAAATACTGACGGCGAGGTGCTCAGTACAGTACATACTGACGGGCGAGGTGCTCAGTACAGTACATACTGACGGGCGAGGTGCTCAGTACAGTACATACTGACGGGCGAGGTGCTCAGTACAGTACATACTGACGGGCGAGGTGCTCAGTACAGTACATACTGACGGGACGGGCGAGGTGCTCAGTACATACTGACGGGTGAGGTGCTCAGTACAGTACATGCTGACGGGCGAGGTGCTCAGTACAGTACATACTGACGGGCGAGTTGCTCAGTACAATACATACTGACGGGCGAGGTGCTCAGTACAGTACATACTGACGGGCGAGTTGCTCAGTACAGTACATACTGGCGGGCGAGTTGCTCAGTACAGTACATACTGACGGGCGAGGTGCTCAGTTTATCGAGGTTTGGCCAAGCGCTCAGTGAAAGCTGATACATTATTAATCAAGGTGCCCACAAAGAACGCTCCTCTCTCTCTCTCTCTCTCTCTCTCTCTCTCACACACACATCACACACACAACACCACACACACACACAACACACACACACACACACAACACACACACACACACACACACACAACTATTCACACTTTAATTACTTAGTATATTAGGTTTTAAGTCTATCGACTACACGTAGTTCATCAAGAAACTCAAATAGGCCCTGACAGACTCACTCGATATATACAGAGATATAGATATACTATATACCTGTATGTATTCACACTGATTTACACTGAGCACTTCATGGTGTGACATTCCACGGGGTGGATCGGCGAACCGGCTGAGGGTTTCAGTCCTATGACCAAAAGTTCGTTAGAATGGGTCATCATGGGACTAGACTCAGCGTCGGGAAACATTTGTCTTGGGTAGTAACAAATAACTAATTATTATTAGTAGTACCAGTAGCAGTAATTATTCTTGTTTTACTGTGAAGGCGAGCATATTGTACACTGTTTTGCTGTTAAATTGTTGATGGCTGTTATAGTCTTAAATGTCGTGATGACAATGTTGCTTGACCTTGTCCTTGTCCTTGATGCTCACGGAATATGGAACATGTTGATGTAGCCCCTGTGTTGCACTGCTCTGTGTGCGTGCACTCACCCATGCGCACTCGCCTATATGTGGCTGCAAAGGTCGAGTCTCGGCTCCTGGTCCCCGCCTATTGCCTATCTCCTTGCCAGATTCACTCCCTCCTAACCTCGTGGGCCATATCGTACCTGCTCTTAAAGTTATGTATGAACCCTGCCTCCACCACATCTCTCAAATCATTCCACCTAACGACCACCATGAGACTAAAGAAATACTTCCTGACATCCCTGTGGCTCGTCTGTGTCTAACTTTCAGCTGTGTCCCCCCGAGTTCCCATTTCTCGCCTTCTCTCAAACCTTGTCTACCTTGTCAAATCCTCTAAGTATTGTGTATGTTATCACATCTCCCCTGGTTCTTTTATCGTCCAGTGTAGTTACATTCAGATCCAATAGCCTCTCTTCATAGCTTACACTTAATTCAAGAACAAGCCTTAAGTTTCTTAACATGCTTCCTCAGATGTGGGTTCCATACTGGTGTTGCGTACTCCAGTATGATCCAGGCATGTATAAAGTACATGGAAAGGCAGATTACTGAAGGCCACTCTTAGATTTGCCAGGCGAGCACTGGCTGCAGAGGATATTCGGTTGATGTGAACCTCTGGTGATATGTTAGGTACTATGCTCACTCCTAGGTTTTTCTCTCTACATAAAGTCTAGCAACTTCTGTCCCTCAAGACTATATACAATGTCCGGTATTTTGTATCCTCCCTTGAGCCTCACGACTTTGATTTTGCTGGGGTTGAATTCAAGCAGCCAGTTATCTGACTACTCTTGCAGTTAGTCCAGATACATTTGCAGCATTTCTTTTACTTCATCTGTTTTTATTCTTCTCGCACATTTTATATCACAAAAAGGGATACATTGGATTCCATCTTATCTGGAATATCATTATTCACGAGCCAAAAACAGTCCCAATATCGATGCTTGCGGCAGCCCACTTTTTACACTTCCCCATTTTGACTTCTCTTCCTGGACACTTTGCAGTTTTCCCCAGAGATACTCTTTGATCCACTGGAATATCTTCCTTATCCCCCCTGTGTGTGTGTGTGTGTGTGTGTGTGTGTGTGTGTGTGTGTGTGTGTGTGTGTGTGTGTGTGTGTGTGTGTGCGCGCGCGCGCGCGCGCGCGGGTGCGAGTTCCTGTGGTTCATCTCGTCCTCACAAAAATATTTTCAGAAGAGTTTGAGTGCATCAATTACCCAACGATTTAAGTCAACTATACACTTTAAAAGTTAATTACCCTTGATTAGCTAAACAAATTATACCATAACTAGAGCCTCTTACCCGACAATAAACACATTAGCCGAGGTCGACATGGATTAATAACGTTCATGGGGAAGCACTAAGCCCGTAGGTTCCATCTAAAAAAATAGAGTACGTGAAGTTCTGCAGATCAGGAGCCCATCACACGGTGTGTCCTCTGGGTGGGGGCTGCACCGTGTGCTAACACTGGGTGGGGGGTGCACCGTGTGCTAACACTGGGTGGGGGCTGCACCGTGTGCTAACACTGGGTGGGGGCTGCACCGTGTGCTAACACTGGGTGGGGGCTGCACCGTGTGCTAACACTGGGTGGGGGCTGCACCGTGTGCTAACACTGGGTGGGGGCTGCACCGTGTGCTAACACTGGGTGGGGGCTGCACCGTGTGCTAACACTGGGTGGGGGCTGCACCGTGTGCTAACACTGGGTGGGGGCTGCACCGTGTGCTAACACTGGGTGGGGGCTGCACCGTGTGCTAACACTGGGTGGGGGCTGCACCGTGTGCTAACACTGGGTGGGGGCTGCACCGTGTGCTAACACTGGGTGGGGGCTGCACCGTGTGCTAACACTGGGTGGGGGCTGCACCGTGTGCTAACACTGGGTGGGGTCTGCACCGTGTGCTAACACTGGGTGGGGGCTGCACCGTGTGCTAACACTGGGTGGGGGCTGCACCGTGTGCTAACACTGGGTGGGAGGGGGGGCAGCCTGTGGTAACTCTGGGTGGGAGGGGGGCAGCCTGTGGTAACTCTGGGTGGGAGGGGGGGCAGCCTGTGGTAACTCTGGGTGGGAGGGGGGGCAGCCTGTGGTAACTCTGGGTGGGAGGGGGGGCAGCCTGTGGTAACTCTGGGTGGGAGGGGGGGCAGCCTGTGGTAACTCTGGGTGGGAGGGGGGGGCAGCCTGTGGTAACTCTGGGTGGGAGGGGGGCAGCCTGTGGTAACTCGGTGGGAGGGGGGGCAGCCTGTGGTAACTCTGGGTGGGAGGGGGGCAGCCTGTGGTAACTCTGGGTGGGAGGGGGGCAGCCTGTGGTAACCTGGGGGGGGAGGGGGGGCAGCCTGTGGTAACTCTGGGTGGGAGGGGGGGCAGCCTGTGGTAACTCTGGGTGGGGGGGGGGCAGCCTGTGAAACTCTGGGTGGGAGGGGGGGCAGCCTGTGGTAACTCTGGGTGGGGGGGGGGCAGCCTGTGGTAACTCTGGGTGGGAGGGGGGGGGCGCCTGTGGTAACTCGGGGTGGGGGGGGGGGCCCAGCCTGTGGTAACTCTGGGTGGGAGGAGGGGGGCAGCCTGTGGTAACTCTGGGTGGGAGGGGGGGCAGCCTGTGGTAACTCTGGGTGGGAGGGGGGGCGGGCCTGTGGTAACTCTGGGGGGGAGGGGGGGCAGCCTGTGGTAACTTCTGGGTGGGAGGGGGGGCACCCTGTGGTAACTCTGGGGGGGAGGGGGGCAGCCTGTGGTAACTCTGGGTGGGAGGGGGGGCAGCCTGTGGTAAGGGTGGGAGGGGGGGGGCCAGCCTGTGGTAATTTGGGGTTTGGGAGGGGGGGCAGCCTGTGGAAATTTTCGGGGGTGGGGGGGGGGCAGCCTGTGGAAAACTCTGGGTGGGGGGGGGGCAGCCTTGGTAAACTCTGGGTGGGAGGGGGGGGCAGCCTGTGGTAACTGGGTGGGAGGGGGGGGCACCCTGTGGTAACTCGGGGGGGAGGGGGGCGCCTGTGGTAACTCTGGGTGGGGGGGGGCAGCCTGGGGTAACTCTGGGTGGGAGGGGGGGCAGCCTGTGGTAACTCTGGGTGGGAGGGGGGCAGCCTGTGGAAACTCTGGGTGGGAGGGGGGCAGCCTGTGGTAACCCCTGGGTGGGAGGGGGGCAGCCTGGGGTAACTCTGGGTGGGAGGGGGGCACCCTGTGGTAACTTGGGTGGGAGGGGGGGCAGCCTGTGGTAAACTGGGGGGGAGGGAGGGCAGCCTGTGGTAACTCTGGGTGGGGGGGGGGGGAAGCCTGTGGTAACTCTGGGTGGGAGGGGGGGGGCACTGGTAACTCTGGGTGGGGGGGGGGGCAGCCTGTGGTAACTCTGGGTGGGAGGGGGGGGCAGCCTGTGGTAACTCTGGGTGGGAGGGGGGGGCAGCCTTGGTAACTTGGGTGGGAGGGGGGGCAGCCTGGGGTAACTCTGGGTGGGAGGGGGGGGCACCCTGTGGTAACTTGGGTGGGAGGGGCAGCCTGTGGTAACTCTGGGTGGGAGGGGGGGCAGCCTGGGGTAACTCGGGTGGAGGGGGGCACCCTGTGGTAACTCTGGGTGGGAGGGGGGGGCAGCCTGGGGTAACTCTGGGTGGGAGGGGGGGAAAGCCTGTGGTAACTCTGGGTGGGAGGGGGGCAGCCTGTGATAACTGTGGGTGGGAGGGGGGCAGCCTGTGATAACTGTGGGTGGGAGGGGGGCAGCCTGTGTAACTCTACGGATGTAGTCAGTCGAGTTTCATTATCAATGAATTATTCACTTGTGGAATATTTAACCATCATTATTGTGGAAACATTTACCCAGCCAGTGGCGTCATCGGTCCAATATAGAGGAGGAGGAAGATAAGCAGTGTGAGGTAATCGCAAGTTTTACCTGTTCGTGCCGAACAGGTAAAACTTGCGATTTTCTCTTAAATAGCAACGTTCTTCTTTCCGAACGAGTCAAGTGAAAATTTGTGTATGCAATAATTTCGCAAAAAACATTCTGAACTTAACTAGAAAATATATTTAATTGTGTTTGTTTATTATTAAATTATTGTAAACTTACCTACCATTTATTTAGCTGGATTAGGCTAAATTAAACTGCGCTTTTTATAAGGAGGTTATGCAAGTTTTCTAAGGCGCATTTGGTACAAAATTATTAATTCTTATATTAACATAAATGAAAAAAATATATCTGTAAACGTATAAAAGAAAATTTTAGAAAGGACTTTATTTTAAACAAGTCTTGCTAATTGACCAATTTTACCTATTCGGCCCCCCCCAACTCACCCATAATAATATATATATAATATTTTAAATATAATATATATAATATATTTATATATATATATATATAATATATATAATATATATATATATAAATACTGAAATAGAGACGGAAATCAAAACATCAACCTATTTCTGTGTGGGGCGACATTATTAATGTACGAGGCAGAAAGAATACACAAGGCACCAAGAATGTATCATACAAATGGCTACCTCAGCACAGAACAAAGTGCTGAAGTTTGGCAGAATTGAGCATTAAATTGCAGAAGGTAGCCATCGTGGCGAGTATTAAGTTAATGTAGGTGTGTCATGCTGATGTAACTTGTCACCATCACTGCTACACCATCACCACAACTACCTGCTATCCACCACCACCACCAACCACCTACTGTCCATCACCACCTTCCACCACAACCACCTACTATCCATCACCTCCAATACGACAACCACCTGCTATCCATCACCCCCAATACGACAACTACCTGCTATCCACCATCCCTTGCCTTCTACCATCACCACCCCGTACCTTGACTATTTTTTTTTTTTATTTTTTTTTATCACACTGGCCGATTCCCACCAAGGCGGGGTGGCCCGAAAAAGAAAAACTTTCACCATCATTCACTCCATCACTGTCTTGCCAGAAGGGTGCTTTACACTACAGTTTTTAAACTGCAACATTAACACCCCTCCTTCAGAGTGCAGGCACTGTACTTCCCATCTCCAGGACTCAAGCCCGGGCCCCTCCCCGGTTTTCCCTGAATCCCTTCATAAAGTTACTTTGGCTCACACTCCAACAGCACGTCAAGTATTAAAAAAACCCTTTGTCTCCATTCACTCCTATCAAACACGCTCACGCATGCCGCTGGAAGTCCAAGCCCCTCGCACCCAAACCTCCTTTACCCCCCCCCTCCAACCCTTCCTAGGGCCGACCCCTACCCCGCCCCTTTCCCTTCCACTACAGACTGATACACTCTTGAAGTTATTCTGTTTCGCTCCATTCTCTCTACATGTACTACCTACCATTTACTATCAGTCCCCCCTGCCCACAACCATCGCCATACCCACCATTCTATCCTTACAATGATCCCCAGCCCCCTACCTCCATTCACAGATACCACCCAACCTCCCCAAAACATCCCTACTACCCATGTAACCTCACACTAACAAGACAGGCATTTGTTTGCCAAATCTGTTTAACGACACTTCAGAGCAAAATATTTCGCATAGCATCAGGCATTGCACCTCAACAGGGTGGAGTCAGGGGTCGTTGACCCCAAGCTACAGTGAACCTACACACTACCACCACGTGTACACGACACTCATACGGTGTGACCCCCGACTCACACTGCTGTCTCACGACGGTTCACTGAGGTCAGGTCATTTACCTGCGCCATGGAGCCTTGCCGAAGAAGTTCAAGAAGCCTGGAGCACTGAACCATCGGAACATTGCCTGGGAGGCGGAGGTGGTGTGCCGGCCACCTAGCTGCACGCTGATGGCATCACCAGTGACACACCGCTGGCCTCGGGTGCCACCCACGGCACACCTCACCCAGTGAAGAGCAGCAGCTCACTGAGGAATGTGACCAGGTGTATTGGTAAAGCTCGTCACAGCGTCGCAGCTCACAGAGGAATGTGACCAGATGTCTTGGGTAAAACTCGTCGCTGCTCACAGCGTCGCAGCTGACTGAGGAATGTGACCAGGTGCTGAGCCAGTGTTTGTCACTCCCCAAGACTGAGGAATGTGAGCAAGGTGTATGGAACAAGGTGTCACTCCTCACAGCGGACGCGGGGCTCACCTCAGTGAGTGGAGAGCCGCAGCTCACTGAGAAATGTCAGCATGTGTCCTCAGAGCGTACTTACACTGAGTCGATCACCCCGCCTTAGGAATGTTGCTAGCTGGAGTGAACACCGCTGGTACAACCATCATTATCCTCACAGTAATAACCATCAACTGTCAGAATGTTAATATTAGCGTAACTTATAGATTCCCCCAGCAGCCACACTGCCCCACCTTCACTCCCTGACAGACATAGCTCAGAGGTACAGCCACATTCAACACCAGTGACCGTGATCAATGTCTCAGTCCAACCACCTCTCTCTACCCCTCCCACCCTTCACCTGTTGTTCAGAATGTCAGCTGTTGCGTCACCACCAAACTCTCCCTCAACACCACAGCCAACTACCACCACCAAACTCTCCATCAACACCACAGCCAACTACCACCACCAAACTCTCCCTCAACACCACACCCAACTACCACCATCATCAGCCCTCCCTTACCCACACATGTACCTTCTCTTGCTTCTGCCATGTGTATTCGCCAATATATTACAGCAATTTAGCCACTTCGCCACATGCTCTGGCTTGAGATTTTTCGTGACGCCAAGGTTGAGGACACGAAGAAAGGGCAAGTGACGTAAAGAAGGGACGGCAAAAAAAACGCATATGTCTTACCGCAAATATCAACAGAATTACACGCAAACATGTAGTGATAAAAATTAAAATTTGTTCAGTAGGAGTAGATGACTGGAAAAAATTTACGGAAAGAAAGTTGCCAAAATCATTAAGGATTTAAAAAAACTCGAAGGAAAAAATTCTGTTAAAAGGCAAAAAGGGGCCCCGGTCGTTCTTAATTTATAATTATGTTTTTGGTAGTACAATGAAAAATTTGATGAGCAGACCCCATTTGATGGGGGGGGGAGATGGGGAGGAGGGAAAAACTCTCAAACATTTAAAAAAAAAAAATGAAAAAACATTCCCCTTTCGTGAAGATCACAAAAAAAAATAACGTGGCAGCACAAAAACTTGACAAAAGAAGAGTTTCTCAAGGGGGAAATTAGAAAAAAAAGACTGTTCAAAAATTTCTTGTGGGTGACACTGTTTGGTGCAAACAACGGTGTACAAACTTCGTATTAAAACACGGGGTAAAGAAACTCAAGGCTTTTTGTCGAGTTTGAGGGAAAAATGCGAGGGAAAAGACTTGTTTCACTGAAGGGAAAGAAATCAAGGGGGATAGAATCAAGACATACACAATACTGCGAGGCAATTACAGGTAGAAAGGGGAAGGCTATTTGCCATAGATGTAAGAACAACAAGAGGGCATGGTTGGAAACTACGCACCTGTATAAACTCCAGTCATGGCAGGAAACTTTTCACTAGCCTACGTAAGTGTGGTTAAGAATGAGACCTGACGTAAATGCCAAGCAAAGGGTTCAGAAATCTATTCAAGTGTATTCTGAAATGAGTTAAGAGGCGGGACCAACACCTAGAGCTCACTCCTCAGCAAAATCAAGTAGGTAATAGAACACGCACCAATGTACCACGACACAAACTCGAATGTAAATATGCGATAGCGCACGCACACGCGCAGGAAAGGTTTGAAGAGCTACAAATTACAAAAATCACACTGTAAAATGTGAAGTCTTGATGTTGCGTCACTTTTACTAACGTTGTTATTGATAATTTTATCAGTGGTGGTTAATCAAGGGCCACATCAACTCCCTATACCCAGTGATGTCTTTTCTTCCTCGCATTACTCTGTGCAGTCTACCCTTTTTCCTTCTTCTAAGGTGACTTCTATAAGCGCCCTCTATACTTCTATCCCAAGACTTTATATATAGTATTGCGACGCTGTTCTAAAACCAACTCTTGAAGTAGGTTCTTCTCTGTGGCTTCGCTATGTAAATGTTACCTTTGTTCTTTGGCCTTATGACTAATCTCTCTGAACGTGTACTTAGCTCTGTGAAGACCTGTTTGCGCGGTCTCTACGAATTGAAGCAAGATGCCCTCCATCGAGCAACTTTACCAACAGCTTAAGGAAGAATTGAAGTTGGCGAAGATGGAGATTCGGCGACTGACAGAGGAAAACAAGAAGATTCGTAGTAGTCCTCCTGTTTTGAGTCCTCAGGTCAAGAAGGGAAACTGGTCAGTGGCTGGACAGCAGAGAACGAAGTTGACGATCAAGAGGACGAATGGAAAGGTAGAAACGATGAAGAAGAAAGAGACTGCGGGGAAAAACTGTTGTGGAAACATCTAATACATTCTCAGTGCTACCCGACGAATGTGAGTCGACTACTGGGAACATCACGACGAACGACAACCAAGGAAGGTAAGAATATTGTTGTTGTTGGGATAGCCAAGTTAGGTATATGGATAGGGCGTTCTGCTTGAAGGACAGGAGTAGGAGACAGAGTTTGTTTTTCCTGGGGCTGGGATGGAGGATATTGTTACCGTCTGGATGACATCATGAGAGGTAATGGGAGCAATCCTATTATCTGTCTCAGTGCTGGAGGCAACGATGTTGGCAGACGTAGGAGTGAATGACCTGATTAGCAGGTATAGGTCAGCAATAGAAATAATTAGGAGTAAGAGTGGGAACCCTGTCATATGTGGTTTTTTGCCAAGGAGAGGAGTTGGAAATGAATGGTTGTCCAGGGCAATTGGTGTCAATTTGCTGGCTGGACAAATACTTAAGGAAAATGCGGTAACATTCATTGACAACTGGGACCTCTTCTATGGCAGAAATGACATGTATGCCAGGGATGGGGTTCACTTATCTAGGTCTGGGGTGGTAGCACTGGCAACTGCAGTGGATGGAGCAGTTAGGACTTTAAACTAGGAATAGTTAGTGGTATGGGTTTTGGCAGGAAAACAGTGAAGTCCCAGTGTAGTAATATTACGAGTTCTAGGGGAACTAGTAATAAGCAGAACGAGGTAGATATTGAAAAGCCAGGGGACTTTGGGTGATAAGGACAGTAATAGGTTTAGTAGAAAAACAGAAATGAGCAGGAAGGGTAAAGAGAAAGGAGAGTCTTTCAATGTTTATTATGCTAATTGCCGTAGTGCTAGGAATAATATGGACGAGTTGAGATTAGTTGCTAGTGCAGGTAACATTGATGTATTTGCCTTAACTGAGACGTGGTTTAATTCAAAAAGTCGGGACATGCCTGCAGAATGTCATTCAGGGTTTTAAATTGTTCCAAGTAGATAGAAGTATCGGGAAGGGGGGTGGGGTGGCATTGTATGTCCGAGATCGCTTGAACTGTTGCATAAAAACGGGTATTAAGTCTGAAGTAACACATACAGAGTCTGTTTGGATAGAATTTTCAGAGGGGCATGAAACTGATTTTAGGAGTGATATACCGTCCCCCAAACTTAGATAGAGACCAAGGGAGACTACTATGGGAGGAAATTGTTAAGGCCACAAGGCACGATAATGTAGTAATTCTAGGAGACTAACTTTAGTCATATTGATTGGAATTTCTTGACTGGGAATTTAGAATCATACGACTTCTTAGAAGTAGTTCAGGATTGTTTTTTGAAGCAGTTTGTGACAGAACCTACAAGGGGAAATAACCTGCTTGACTTAGTTATGGCAAACAATGAATCCCTTGTTAATAATTTAGAAATTTCAGAGGAACTGGGTGCTAGCGACCACAAATCAATTACATTTAGCATTGAATGGAAGTACGATAGTAGCAATAACTCAGTAACAGTCCCAGATTTTCGCTTAGCAGATTACGATGGGCTTAGAGAACACTTATCTGTTGACTGGGGTAACGAAGTGAGCTATCAATATGACAGTTTTCTGAACACTATACATGCTGCTCAAAGAACGTTTATCCCATATAAAGAAATTAGATCAAATAGAAATGACCCAAAATGGATGAATAATAGGCTCAAATATCTACTAGGGCATAGGAAAGGAATTTATAGGCGTATCCAAAGAGGCGAGGGTCATCTTAGGAATCAGTGTATTGGCATTAAGAGGGACATTAAAAAGGGGATAAGAAAAGCTAAAAGGGACTATGAAATTAAAGTTGCTAGGGATTCTAAAACTAACCCAAAAAGTTTTTTCCAGGTCTATAGAACAAAAGTTAGAGATAAGATAGGTCCCCTTAAAAATAACTATGGGCACCTTACTGACAAAGAGAACGAAATGTGCTCGATTTTTAATAATTATTTTCTCTCAGTTTTTACACAGGAAGACACTAACAATATTCCAGTAATTAATTTTTATAGTGGGCTAGAAGAGGATAAATTATGTAACATCACAGTCACTAGTGAAGTGGTTGTGAAGCAGATAGACTGAAGCAAAATAAGTCGCCGGGTCCTGATGAGGTTTTTTCAAGGGTTCTTAAGGAATGCCAAATGGAACTCTGTGAACCATTAACTAATATTTTTAATTTATCTCTTCAAACAGGTGTAGTGTCTGATATGTGGAAGATGGCTAATGTAATTCCTATTTTTAAAACAGGGGACAAGTCGTTACCGTCAAATTACCGCCCAATAAGCCTGACCTCAATTGTAGGCAAATTATTAGAGTCAATTATAGCAGAGATTATAAGAAGCCATCTCGATAAGCATAGCTTGATTAATGATACTCAGCATGGATTCACAAGAGGCCGGTCTTGTCTAACTAATTTATTAACTTTCTTCAGTAAAGCTTTTGAGGCTGTTGACCACGATAAAAAATTTGATATTATTTACTTAGATTTTAGTAAGGCTTTTGATAGAGTTCCACACCATCGACTGTTAAAGAAAGTGGCAGCTCATGGCATTGGGGGGAAAAGTGCTCTCATGGATCGAGTCATGGCTCACTGACAGGAAGCAGAGTGTGTCCATAAATGGGGTTAAATCCGAGTGGGGATCTGTAACAAGTGGCGTTCCACAGGGATCAGTCTTGGGCCGTTGTTGTTTATAATATATATCAATGATCTTTATGAGGGAATTACTAGTGACATGAGCAAATTCGCCGATGACACAAAGATAGGTAGGATAATTGATTCAAACGTAGATGTTATGGAACTTCAGGAGGATTTAAACAAACTCTATTCTTGGTCAGAAAAGTGGCAGATGCAGTTCAATGAAGATAAATGCAAGGTTCTGAAGCTTAGGAGTGCCTATAACCCTAGTACTTATAAGTTAAATGATGTAGAACTTAGCCATACAGATTGCGAAAAGGACTTGGGGGTTATGGTGAGCAGCAACCTTAAACCAAGACAGCAATGCATAAGCGTACGTAATAAGGCAAATAGATTACTGGGATTTATATCAAGAAGTGTAAGCAACAGAAGTCCAGAGGTCATACTGCAGCTTTATACATCATTAGTAAGGCCTCACCTAGATTATGCAGCTCAGTTCTGGTCTCCATATTACAGAATGGACATAAATTCGTTAGAAAACATTCAGCGTAGGATGACTAAATTAATACATAGCATTAGAAATCTTCCTTATGAAGAAAGATTGAAGACTCTTAAGTTACATTCACTTGTTAGACGAAGAATGAGGGGAGACCTGATCGAAGTGTATAAGTGGAAGATAGGTATTAATAAAGGGGATAT